ATACTCTCATAATTATTATTATTTGGATTGTTATTTTGGGGGGTTTAATTTGCTATTCTTTTTCTAGTTTCTTAAGAAGGAAGCTGAGGTCACTGATGTGAGATCTTCCTTCTTTTCTAATTTAAACATTAGATATTACAAATTTTTCTCTAATCACTGTACTGGTTGATTTCACAAGTTTTCGATATATTGTGTTATTATTCAGTTAAAATATTTTCTAATTTCATATGATTTCTTCTTGGGCTCATGACATTTAGAAGTGAGTTTTTAATTTTCCAAATATTTGGGGATTTTCTATCTTTTTATTTCTAGTTTAATTTTTGTGGTCAGAGAATATATGGTATATGATTTCAATCTTTTAAAATTTATTGAGATTTGTTTTATATTGTAGGATATGATCTATCTTTGTGAATATTTCATATTCTCTTGAAAAACATGCATTTTAGTTTTGTTTGGTGGAATGTTCTATAAATATCAATTAGGTCAAGTTGGTTGATAGTGTTGCTCAAGTCTTCTATATTTTTACTAATTTTTGTCTACTTATTCTGTCAACTTATTGGTAAATATTGAAATCTACTATATTTATCTATTTTTCCTTTAGTTCTGTTTCTTTATTCTTAATTTTAGTTAGTTTTAGACAGTTTTAGGTTTACAGAAAATTTACAAAGATAGTACAGATAATTCTCATATACACTGAACCCAGTTTCCCCTAACATCTTGCTTTTCTGTGGCTCATTTGTCACAGTAAAGAACCAACATTGGTATATTACTTTTAACTAGACTTTACAGTTTATTCAGTTTCATTTTTTCTTTCCTAACATCCTTTTTCTGTTCCAAGATCTAATTCAGGATACCACATTATATTTAGTCATCATGTCTCCTTAGCTTCTTGTCTATGAGTTTCTCAGACTTTCCTTGTTTTTAATGATCTTGGGTGTTTTGAGGAGTACTGGTACAATATGTTGTACACTGTCCCTTAATGTGGGTTTGTCTTATGTTTTTCTCATGGTTAAAGTTGTGTTTGGGTTTGGGAAGGAAGATCACAGACGGGAAGTGCCATTCTCATCACATCATATCAATGGTACATGCTGTCAACAACTCATCAGTGATGATATGAACCTTGACTACCAGACCCAGGAGGTATTTGCCAGCTTCCACTTTAAAGTTACTTTTTCTCTTCTCAAGTCACAGTGGTGTATGCAGAAGTTTAAAATTAATTAAAAAAAAAAAAAAGTTACTTTTTCTCTCCTTTCTTCACTCCACCCTTTATTTTGTTTAGTTTTTCCAGCTATCCCTGCTGGAATGGGAGATAACTCTACTCTTTGTAAGCAAATCACTAAGCACAGCCACACTCAGGAGAAGGGTGTAATATACATTATTTGGAATTTTTCTCCAATGGAGAGTTGTCTCTCCTTTTTAAATTATTTATTTATTTATTTATTTTGTTCTATCATTTTTAATATCTGTGTTGATTTAAGGATATTTATTTTATACTTTATAATATATTTAGGATATAACCCAATACAATATTGTTTATTTTGTTGCTCAGATTTTTCCAACTTTGGCCAATTGGAGCTTTTTCAGCTTGGCTCCAATTCTATCCGTTTTTGCTTCATGTTTTTTGAAGCTCTCTCTTATTAGGTTTAAGATTGTTATATCCTCCTAATGAATTTATTTCTCTCTCATTAAGAAATGTCCATCTTTGTCTCTGATATTATTTCTTCTGTACAGATGAATATACTGATTTCATGGGACAGTCTGTGAAAAAAAAAGCCCAGGAGTTTTCTGGAAAGTCTTTTGCCCTGATATATAAATTAAGATCAGGGTTATCCTGGTTATCTCAGTCCAGGGCTACAAAGCAATGCTTGAATCACTGTCAGATCAGAGCCTGTTCAAGGAGAAATCCAACTGGCAAGAAAGGCTGGACTGCCTAAAAATATTTTCAAATATCACAGCCTTGAGTCTCAAACCAACAGGAAATTAAAATTTACTGCAAACTCCTATATCAAGGCTGACAAACCAGAATGAGTCAAAAATGAGATGATGAAATGTCAGAACTGATTTATGATGTTTTGGTTCATGAACTATTTGGTTACTTTCTATCTGTCTTTTTCTCTCTTCTTCTGTTTTCTCAGTTTCTTCTAAACTTTTCACAAATAATGTAAACCATGCCTGGCTGTTCAGCACACATTGAGGACAGAAAACTGTCCTAATGTCCCTCTGTCGCTCCTTCCTCTATTCCTCCCTGCCTCCTCTCTTTTCTTCTTTTCTGGATCTTCCTTTGCTTTCCTCCCCATCATTAAACCTTTATTTACCATGTGCCCCCTATGCATAAAGTGTAGTAGTGCAGATGCTCTCAGACTTTTTTGATCATGACCCATACTGGGAAACACATCTTTACATCAAAATCCAGTGTGCGCTCGCTCTCTCGCTCGCTCTCTCTCTTTCTTTCTCTTCACTAAACAATTCTTATGTTTATGAGGTATATTAGTCAACTCAGGCTGCCATAACAAAATACCATAGACTGGGTGGCTTACACAACAGAAATTTCTTTTCTCACAGTTGTGCAGGCTAGGAGTTTGAGATCCGGGTTCTACAGGGTAGGTTTCTGGTGAGGGCTCTGTTCTGGCTTGCAGACAGTCACCTTCTTATTGTGTCTTCAAGTGTGTATGTGAGAGAGAGCAGCTTTGGTGTCTCTTCTTAGAAGGACACTAATTCTATCAGATCTGGGGCCCACCCTTATGACTTCATTTAACCTTAATTACATTCTTACTCCAAATAGAGCCATATTGGGGCTTGGGGCTTCAAAATATAAATGTGGGGTGGGAGGAACACATACATGCAGTCCATGACACTAGATGTTGTACAATCAGACATTTTCTGTTCTATCCCATCCTGATTGCTTTTATTTAATGCTGGTGAAGTCCACTAAACTGATTTCATGACCAGCTAATGGGTCAGGGCCTCTGATAAGTTAAGTGGCAAAGCCTCTACCTTCTAGAGGCTTATGTTCTGATTGGGAGAGTAAGAAAGGCAAACTGCAGCAGGATGGGAAGTGTGCTTACCAAGAGCACTGTCTCTGATATCTGAAACCAGCAGAGTTTGCCTGGGGCGATTCAGAGAAACTGGGTAGAGAAGCTAGGATTTGAATCAGGTCCTGGAGGGTGGGCAGCCTATGACCCACATTAAAACCATGTCCTTTGGGCCCAGCGTGGTGGCTCACACCTGTAACCTTGCACTCTGGTAGGCCGAGAAGGGCAGATCGTTTGAGCTCAGGAGTTTGAGACCAGCCTGAGCAAGAGCAAGACCCCATCTCTACTAAAAATAGAAAGAAATTAACTGGACAACTAAAAATATATAGAAAAAATTCAGCCAGGCATGGTGGCACATGCCTGTAGTTCCAGCTACTCGGAGGCTGAGGCAGAAGGATCACTTGAGCCCAGGAGTTTGAGGTTGGTGTGAGCTAGGCTGACGCCATGGCACTCTAGCCTAGGCAACAGAGTGACACTCTGTCTCAGAAAAAAAAAATGTCCTTTGGACAGTTTGCCATGGGATACACATCTTCAGGATGTGTGCTCCATACCTGCAGACCCCTGAAGGCCTACATAAGTGCGCAAAAGGAGCAACTTCTGGGCTTCTTATCCTCAGTGATCAGGGTGTCCTCAGCCTGGAGGATCAGATGACCCTGCCAGCTCAACCTGCCCACCAAGGAGCCTGCCAGAGCCACGTTACTGGTTACTGTTAGATGGAGTGGTGGTCAAAAGTTCCTAGGACCTTCATCTTGGGAGATTGAAGTCACACCCTGCCAGGGCTACAAGTGGGGAAAATGAATTTAATGGTCACATCTTCATCTCCTTATGGACATTGGCAGACCCGAGCCCCCAGTCACCATGCAAGTTAGGACCATTTGGCATGGGTAATAGTTGAGGATGAGAGTGGCCCAACTCAGAAAATGTATGGGGTGAAATATAATATCAACAACTATGGGTTGAAATCTCAAATTCAGAGACTTTGGCAGGTCAACTTATTCCTTCCTTGTTTCTCAGCTGTAAGATAAGGGTAGTATTAGTACCTACCTCATAGAGTAGTTTGGAAATTAGCTGAATTAACATCTGGAAGGTGATTAAAACAGTGTCTGGCACAATACACACTATAAAACAGTGTGTTACCTAAAGCCACCACTACTTCAATTTATTACTTTTTATATTGGCTAGTGGGCTGATTGCCTGAGATATGTTATTTAATTTGATCCTCACATCAATACTATGAGGTAGGATTATTATCTTGAAAAAGAAACTGGGACCTAGAAAACTCAAATAACTTTCCCCAGAGCAGGCAGCTAATAAATGACAAAGTTAGGATTGAAAAGTGATGGTTTCAACCATTATAAATGCAGATTATTTTGTTTTATAGTTATATAAAATATTCACATTGTTCCAGAGTCAAATGTACAAGTTTAGTTTCTATTCCTGTCTCTTCCCTCCTACTCCCATCCTTCCTCTATAGATAATTACTTTTTAAAATCGTGTGTATGTATAGGTGCATATATTTTAATATACACATGTACTACACAGTCATCCCTTGTTATCTGTAGAGAATTGGTTCCAGGACCCCCAGTGGATACCAAAATTCATGGATGCTCAAATATTTGACATAAAATGGTATAGTATTAGCATATGACCTATGCACATCATCCTGTATACTTTAAATCATCTCTAGATTTACTTATGATACCTAATAGAATGTAAATGCTATAGAAACAGTTATTATACTGCATTGTTTAGGGAATAATGACAAGGGGGAAAGTCTGTATATATTCAGTATAAACACAGCTATCCTTTTTTTCCTGAATATTTTTGATCTGTGGTTGGTCTAATCCATGGATGCAAAACCCATGGATATGGAGCCCATGAATACGGAGGGCTGATTGTACTCCTGTTCTTAGATAAACAGTGGTAGACTATATTTATTTTTCCCACCTTGCTTTGTTTTTTACTTACCAGTCTATATCTCCTGATGTCATACCCTATGCTCACTCTTTGCCTCAGCCACAGAGTATTCCACTGTGCTCCTTTACCACAGTTTATTCAACCTGTTTCCCACTGATGGACATTCAGGGGGTTCCAATCTTTGCTTTACAGATGGTGCTGCAATGAATACATTTTGTGCATATATTATTTTTCATATTTTCTCCAATGTATTTTGGGATAGATTCCCTAAAAATAGGACTCCAGGTCAAAGGGGATATGTAGGTATGTTTTTGCTAGATTTTGCCAAAGCCCCTTTCACAGAAGTTGTACCATTTTGTACTCCTCCACCAATGTGTCTATGTCCCCATCATCTTTTCAAGAAACTATTTTGTCAAGTTTTGGGATTTTTGCCAAGCAGATTTTAAAAATAGTTTTTCCTTGTTAGAGAAATAATATGTATTCGTTGAAGAAATCTTGAGGGGAAAAAAGCACAGTATCCAATTTTCAGCAATTCCTTTTCCTGGAATTACTTGCCCTTAAATATTTACTGGCCAGTACCTCCAGCCCACTCATGTGGGACATTCAGGATCCCTCCCAGTACCTCTAGGTATTAGTGGGAAGCTTACCTGTCTCTTGGTCAAGCTGGACTTCAAGTCACCATTCCAACTGAATCCTTGATGCCCACCTATGCCTATATAAGGCACATCATTCACCCTGGTCACATCCAGTCTCCTTCTGTGCTAAAGAGCCACAATTCAAAGCTGTGTATGGAGCCGACTTTACTAAAGGTTGTAGCAGAGTAGGGGGTTACACTCACACAGCACCAGCCAACAAGCTTCAGGGGAAATAAACACAAGTAAATTCAGTAAATAACACCAGTTCCCAGTCTGTACCCCCCACCAAAGAGCTCTCACCGCTAAAGCTGTGGCCTCCAGAGGCCCTGGGCTTGCTGTGCTCCTTCCTTGAATACCTTCATCTCTTCTTTCCAACTAGCAACCCTGAACTTCTCACTTTCCTACACAGAGTCTCAATTTCCATTATCACAACAACTCCCCCTATTTTGGACTTTCTATGTGCAAACAAAAATGTTTGCACATGAAATGATCCATTTCAGTGTTTTGATTACCAAAATAGTTTTTATCCATAAAAGGAATTCCACTAGCATATATTTTCTTCCCAATTAAAATTTAAGAATATATAGAATAAAAACCAAAATCACCCATAATCCTCCTACTTAGACAGAAATTAACACTGTAAACATACCAGTATATATCCATATATCCACTAGGATATATACTAGCATATATCCTAGGGTCTGTCCCCTAGGATGTGTGGGGTGCCAGGTAAATATTTTTTGCAAGACCTCTATCTATATGAAATATTTGAGTCACCCCAAATTAGCAGGTCAGCACCATTCTGGCTGTCCAATGTTGAATAATCCCATTAAAGAAATACCTTGGCAGTCAGCAGGACCAACCTCCACAGTGCTCTGTTGAAACTGGAGCCCAACCAGGATAACCCCATAGACATGAGTCCTGGGGTTCCTTGAGCCATCTGGTTGACCCCACATACACAGGACAGGGGGCAACACAGGGTCAGGTGCACGAAAGGAAGGGGAGAAACAAAGATGAGGTGCCCCACTGGGATATCAATCCTGGTCCTATCTGGTCTCAGCAACCAAAGGAGGACTTTCTTCAAAAAAGGGATTGAAAGTGGGAGGTGGGAGGAGCAAGCCTGAGATGTGGGGCCCCATAAAGGGCCCTGTTTGCTGGTCTGAGGGCAGTACTCTATCAGCTAGCAGAACCATGTATACCAATGCCAAGGGCTCATCCCCAGTGATTCTAATCCAATTTGTGCGGAGCAGAGCTCCCATGCACTTTTTAAAAGCTGTCCATGTGAGTCAGGGTTGACATCCATGGAGAGCCATTCAACTTAATAGTGTTTAAAGTCCTTGCATCTCCCTTCCCGGGAAACTGAGATTATAGTATTGAAGGAACTGGCCCCAAGGCATCCAGTGGGCCAAGATAGAGCTACACCCCACACCCTGCATGCCTGAAGAGGCCTAAATATAGGCTGTCCAGTGACTTTTACCTATCACAACTTGAGAATTCCTATTTTCTTTTTTGGTGTACTCTTTAGGTACTGTAGCTGCCCGTATCATCTCTGCTGGTACTGGCCCTTAATAATCTTTATGCTGTCAAGGTCAAACGAGTGCTCACTAATAGCTGGGAAGTGTCTTAGCAAGGACCCAGCCTTTTTCAACTAATCGGCATTAATCACATCCTCTGGTTAAACTGGCTGAGACAAAACCCAGAGGCAGGCTTGTTCTTTTTTGCAATTAGTGAGATTCTATGAGGAAGTGCAGATGATGTGACTTCCAGGCCTATTCCCCATGCGGCAGAACCAGACTGAGAGCAGAGAGGAGATGAGAGCACACATCTCCCTCTGCTCATGTCCAGTGTCAGGCTGGCCTGCCAACAGCTGATGGGTCTGTTGCAGACATTGTAGCTCAAGCTGGGGGTTGGATTCCTTCAAATAATCTGCACATAAGGAAAGGAAAACAACGTGATTTTCTTTGACACTTTCCTTGAGTTCCTTTTCCATTATTATTGTTAGAAGTTCCAGAAAGAAAAACACTGAATTAAGCGTTACATACATTCCTCTCTGGAAGAGAACTGAGTGTGTGGATTCCTGGGTTTATGATTAAAGTTCTTATATATCAAGTTACCTGGTAACCCAGGAAAATCCAGAAAAACTCCATGCTTACCTTTCTCTGGCTATAAAATGGAGCCAACGTATTGGTTTCAAAGGCCAAGCTACTAACTCTAGCCTTGCTTGAGTTTTCCTGATTGGTTGTTGGGCTGGCCCAGAGAAAGACGTGGACCCCCCCCCAGCAGAAGCTAAAGTTGGCTGGAATGTCAGCCAGTCGGTCCTGCCAGGAAGCAGATGGCACATTCAGGAGAGTTTTTGAATGGATGATTTACAGAGGTGTGGGTAAACCTATGAGAAATGAGGAAGCTCCCTGGGGCTAATGACAGCACTGTGGCCTTCCCACCCCCAGGCCTGAGAGGACAGGAAGAGAAAGTGGTTTTAGGAATCTAGTGAGACCTGTCATTGAAAGAGCTGTGGTCTTCCATAGAAAGATGCAGCCCCTGCCAACCCACAGCCCAGCAGGGTGGACCCGCGAACCAATACCCCAACTTCACTCCCCTCCACCCTCTGATCTCCTGCTGTGCTTCCCTTTGGCTGAGCCCAGATGGAAACCAGAGGGCCAGGGAGCCCAGCTGATGCAACCCATAGAGGTCAGCCTCCCCAGGCCCAAAACAGGGTGGAGAAAGGGAGAGAGTAGATCCAAGAGGCAAAGGGAGAATATCCCCCAGAGCTGGACAAACAGCCCCATTGCCCCCTCAAAATAACAAATGCCCAATACACATCTGCAATTTACAAACTTCCTTCAAGCTTGTGTCATGATGCACAACTGTTAAACGACCACGTACACAAAATCACATCATTGACTGTAAAGACCTATGCATATTCCAGAAAAACTCTGTAGCCATTAGATGTCAGGGGCCGAGCAAGTAAAACAATTTGGCAACTGTCAGACCCAGAGGCTGTTATCAAGCTGCCTCCATTTCCGTGCTTTGGCGCATTCGCCCCATCTGTGACACCAAGAGGCCCCACTGGAAATTCCAACAGGGCAAGCTACAGTCACTCTGCCTGCTCACTGTTGATTTTCCTCTCTCCTCAACTCCTGCAGGGTGGAATGTCAGCTAAGTGGCAGGGAGCCTGCTCACCAAGGGGCTGGCTGATTGCTTAGGAAACCCATCCCTCTAATGGAATTTAATAAAAACCACCCACCAGACGCAGGGTGGGGGCATTGGCTCTTTAAATGATGATTTTCTTTAAGGGGGAGGGAGGAATCTATCTTTGCCAGTAAAAGAAAGAAGAGAAAGAATCTAGTTTACTCAAATATGGAAGAAAAATGTTTTTAATTTGTAACACTGCTAATTTCACTCCCCCACTCAAAACTCTTTCATGGCTATCATTGCCTAGGGAATAAATTTCAAATGCTTTTAGCCTGGGATCTAGCTTCAGCTTTTCCTACCAAATCTTTCAGTACTCTCCTTCAACTATCCTTCCATCACACTGGGTGACTCAGAGGACATTTTTGGGGGGCAATTCCAAGTATATTCCCATACACAGCTTTTTCAAGCTATAGACTAGTGGTTCCCAGCTCAGTGTGATCTTGCCTCTCCGAGGACATTTGGCAAGGTCTGGAGACAGATTTGGTTGTTACACTGAGGCAGGGGTGTTGCTGGCATCTAGAAGATATAGTCCAGGGATATTGCTAAACAATGCACAGGACAGTGTCCCACAACAAAGAGTTATGTAGCCCAAAGTGTCCACAGTGCCCAGACTGTGCCCAATTGTCTTCCCACTCCTCACAGTGAAATCTTGTCTATTCATCAATGTTGAAAGCTGCATTGTCCAATGTAGTAGCCACTCTTCACATGAGGTTATTGAACACTTGAAATGTAGCTAGTCCAAACTCAGAGGTGTTTGTCAAATGCAAGTCAGATCTTGAAGATTTAGTATGCAAAATGGAATGTCAATGTTTCATTAATAATTTTTCCTGGTTTTTTTTTTGTTTGTTTGTTTTGTTTTTTTACTTATTAAGGTGGCTACTAGAAAATTTTAAATTACATATATGGCAGAATTATAATTCTATCAACACTGGTCTAGACCAGGGTTTGACAAACTTTCTGGAAAGGGCCAAACAGTAAATATTTTAGGCTTTGCTGGCCTCTGTCATGTTTCTTCTCTCCCCCTCTTCTTCCTCCTCCTTCTCCTCCTTTTCCTTTTCTTTCTCTTCCTTCTCTACATTTCAAAAGTATAGATCTTTTAAAAACATAAAATCCTTTTAAACTTTTAAAAAATATAAAAAACATTCTTTGCTTGAGAGCTGTATAAAAAAATAGGTCTTGGCCCCAGATTTGGACTGTGAGCTATGGCTTGCAGACTGTGGAGGCCAAGGAACTCCAGAATCAATGTTTCTCTCTTGTTTGTCACAGTGGACTTCTTGGACTTCCCCACATCTTCCCTCCTACAAATTCTGGTGTCTGTGTCTCGGCCCTGCCTAAATCCAAGGCTCCTAGAAAGTTGATATAGTCTTTCCTAATGTGGGCGCTCCAGAGAGGCTGGCGTGATGCCTCACCCCAAGCGTGGCCTGTCCAGGGGGGCAGTGGCAATCAGGGGTGAGGCGCCCAAGCCATAGCTAAGTCCATGACCTCCCATTTTCCTCACCTCTAAGTGGAGCAAATGACGGACTCTAACTGAGGAAGCAAGTGTGAGGATTAATGTAAAAATAGACAAATGGAGTGCTTAGCACTGAACTTCCTTTCTCATTATTATCGTTACTTATTATAATTTACATAATTAACTAAAATTATTAACTTACATATTTGTTGGATATCAAGATGAGAAAAATATGAAAATGATTCTTGTTTATTGTGAATGATTATTTTTAAAAACCTGTGTTTTTCTTGAACTGCACTCTAAAGTCTATAGAATTATGTTCTACTACTTTCAAACATCTGATTGTTTTTCCAGTGTGTTACATACATGCATAAATGTGTATATGTTGGCAGCTCAGAATTAACAGGGTATTTTTTTAAGTTCTAAATTCCTCTCAAATGGGAACGAAGTGTTCTCCTGACCCTTCCTGCACTCCTTATTACTGTCGACATCTGCAACTAATTGATGATCTATAAGTCAAAACTGTGACCAATGCAAAAAACCTTTAGCAAAGCCTGACTGGGTCTGGCTGACCTTCTTAATGTATTTCAGATTAAGACTAAAACAAGCCACCTTTTAACTGTCCAACTGAGCACCAAACAGTAGCAGTGAGTATTTATCAAACATCAAATAATAACATGATCAGATAACATGCTTACCAGTGAAAATCTAATTTAGAACTTTTTAAAATTTTCATTTGAATTTTTAAAACCCAGACATTTTTTTTATAGGTACAGAGAAATAGTCAGCATGCAATTTGATTGATTAAAGAAACTCTTTCTGTCAATAAAATCAGATTATGACCATCTGAATATCTTTGTAGTAGATGAATGGCACTGTAAGTAATCACAGGAAAAGGCAATGTAGTCTTCTGGGAAAGAATTTGGGCTCTGGAATAAACAGCAAGAGTTTGTGTCCCAGCTGTGTCTTTTACTAGCTGGGTGATGCTGGGCAAGTTACCCAACCACCTAGAGCAGGCGTCCGAAAACTACGGCCCGCGGGCCACATGTGGGTGTTTTTGTCCGTTTGTTTTTTTACTTCAAAATAAGATATGTGCAGTGTGCACAGGAATTTGTTCATAGTTTTTTGTAAACTATAGTCTGGCCCTCCAACAGTCTGAGGGACAGTGAACTGGCTCCCTGTTTAAAAAGTTTGAGGACCCCTGTCCTAGAGCCTATTTCCTCATCTGTGAAATGGGGACAACAGAAGCTTCCTTGTAAAGGAATCCTTGTGAGAATTTAACGTGATGCATTTAAAAGAAAGTGTTTGGCAAACTGTAGTCTATATGTTTCAAACACTAGTAACAAAAAAGGCTACAAATGTACAGTGTATATCTTTTAGAATTAAATAAAGGTAATAGACTTCATATGAGTGTTTGCTAGCTGCCCTAGTATGTATTCTCTAGGAGAAGCGTTAAAGAAATAGATGTTTTACTCACTTTGAAGTTGACTGTACAGAGTTGTAAGAAGCAGAGTGTAAGAAGCAGCTTGTTGCAAATCAATAGCCACATTCCAAGTTGGGGTTCATATACCACGAGTTGTTTCCTTGGCCTGGCATCTTGGTTATACGGCCAGTCCTCCTCTGCTGCCAGTCACACTACCTGCCACTAAATTTGTTTCAGTTGCTACTTCTTAGCATTGGACCCCTATCCTGTGAAATGAGGGGGCAGATATAGGATCCCTGGAGCCAAGGATGCAGGCACAGTGACCATATTCATCTCAAAGGGACAAGCACCTTGGGCTGGAGGATTGGTGTGCATTAGCCTCTTTCTACCTGTAGGGTTCTGAACCTGTTTGGGGTGCAGGGACACCAACCACTGTCCACACCGAAGCCCCCAGGCCCTTCAGGCCACCCCTGACTGAAGGCCAGGTCACCAAGGAGCCCTGAACACAATCCCCTGAGTCACACTTACGAGGAAAGTTGTCTTCCCACAGCTGAATCCACTGATGGGCTGGGCCAGCCCCTCTTGCATGATCAGGGCAGGGTGTGTCCATGAGCAATGGAGTATCAGTAATGACTGGCACCTGCCTTTCTCCTTCAGCCCAGGCACACCCTGCAGCAGGGGAGGGAAAGGTAGCTATTGATTAAGTGCCTCCACAGTGCTTAGATGAGGTGCCTGGTGCTCTGTATATATTATCTCATTTAATCCACAACCACCACTACAATAAGGCATCTTTATCACCATTTAGCATTGAGGAAGTTGAGGTTCAGGGAGGTTAAGTCACTGGCTGAGGTCTTGTGGATCATAAGTGACAGAGGCTGACCCAAGTATGTTCATACTCAGCCTGCTAGAGCAGACCAAGAGCGGGTATGCCAGAACAGTCTCTAAGTCACAGCCCTGACAGAGGTCACCTATGTCAGGGTCACCCTGAGTGGGTCTTTGTTCCAAGGCTGAATGCATGCACGCACGTGCACAAACACACACAGAGTACAGGGTGCCAGCGTAATGTGGCTGTTTTGATCTGCTCTGAGGTTCCTAACTCAAGCACTGAAGTCCTCCGTTCGGCTTGAATTCATTCTGAGCCGAGAGCTGGCCAGGCCTCAGAAACGCAGGGCCGTCCATCACGTCTGTCTCAGGTTCGCTCCTCAGAGAGCCCGAGCTGACCACAACTGCCTTGGCACGGTTCCACTGTGAGGGAGTCACAAAACTGGCATTTAAGTCCGGAGCGGAAAAAACACCCCAAGCTTGTTCGTTTTTCTGACAGGTGCTGGAGCCCATGAAAGGTCAGATTCCAGCTCACAGTCACATCCTGGCTTAGCTGGCTCCAGGCACACAAAGGCCCGTCTGTCTCTCCCGAGCGCAGGGAGTGGGGACTGAGGCCAAGGGCTTAAAATGGCTGCCTGATGGCCGCTCCTGCTGATCCGCTCCTTCACGGACATTGGCCTAAATGAAGCATTGGGAAGCCCAGCTGCCAAGGATGTGTGAAACAGGCAGAATGAAGAAGAATGCAGGCTTTTTTCTTATGTGTAATTGCAAGAGATATTAACCCCCCGGCAGCCCATGAATCCATGCCCTGACATCAGCCTGCTGTGGCTCATTTGTAAGAGCCCTGGGACGCTTCTGTTTCATGTTCAAAGCCTCGCTGGGCTGGAAAATTGAGTGAGAGCTGTCCCTCCAAGCCCTCAGCAAGGATGTTGGGAAAGGAAGGAGTTTGTACTCTTCCTTGCTGATACATCAGGGATAGCTCAGAACTGCGGTGTTATTGGAACAGAGGGCGTGTGTTTAAATGCACGTAGCCACATGCTTTCAACCAGGAACGTTTATTTTTGCAGCCTTTATGAAAACATTCCCCAATTCAAAATGGCTCCAAGGACCCACAATCCTGTATTTTAAGTTCCTCACCAGCAGCTGTAGGCTGAGGGTCTTTAATGCTTCTAACTTCTTCAAAAGATCTCTACCGCCCTTGCTAGTCATGTGACTATATCCCCTCCCCCCCCCACACCATCCCCATAACTTTCCATCAAACTATGTTGCTGACAGAAAGCCAAAAGTTACAGTGGCTACTGCACATCATCCTTGTAAAGAAACCCAGGAGATCTTGACCTTGCAATAAGAACTTCAATTGAAAGCTTTTTTAAATAGCAAGCTCAGAGTGCCAATAAAATTCTTAAAAAACAAAAACAAAACCCTGCTTATGGAATTAACAAAAAAAGTTGTTTTGGAACAATTTTTTGCCTACCAGTTGACAATCTCATCCTGACAGGAAACTTTTCCAGTAAAAAAAAGCCATAGACTGGAAACTGAGGCTCTGGCCTCTTGCTCCAGCTGAATGATGGAGTTATTCTGGGTTAAATACATTAACACTCCAACCATGGGGAAACCCCAGCTCTCTAAGAGGGTGAGCAACAGCAAAGACTGACTGCAGAGCTCTCTTTTGTGTCCTGAATGTGTGTCCCCAGTCCCCAAAAACCCTGTTGTTGCTACATTCAGTTGGTAAGATTCCACCCCATAAACTTTACCAATGATTGACTCTATGAACGTTTCCTAGCAGCCTATATGAAAAGATAGGGTGCCCTTGGGGCGTGTCTCACAGCCGCTCTGTAATTTTATATCTCATCTCTTATGAGGGAGGAACACAAGTACACACTCCCCTCATAAGCATATCAATGGTCATACCTACTATATGCACATGTTGTGCCAGTATGGTCATATAATTTTTCCACCACTCTATGAAGTAGATATGATTTATCCCATGTTTTAGAAAAGGAGTCTGAGGCTCAGAGAAGTCCCCTTGTGGAGGAGCCAGCACACAAACCCACATTAATCTGATGCCAAAGGTCATGCTCTTAGCCACTATGTGGTAGTAGTGCCTCTCATCCTAACTAGGGCTATTAGGAATAAATAATCCCCAATAATCTTTTTAAAGAGCATAGTAGAAAATGGTTTGGTCAAAATAACTACCATTTATTGGGTTATCAGTATGCGACAGGAACTGCTAGGAAATTTGTGTAAATCTCTTATAACATTCCTATAGTGGAGGTATTTGTGTCCCTATTTTAATGGCTTGATAGACAGAAGAGACAAAACAAAATCTCGAGCTTTCTCCAAGAGCAAGAGACCTTGGCCTTGGCAATTCAGCTGGACTATGTACAATATAAATTTGGCAGCATTTGAATGACTTATTGCTACATCACTGTTACTTATTATTATCAGAAATAATAACTATGGCATTTATTGAGCCTGGAATGCCACATGCTTTAGGGATCCCTTCTTGGTAGGCTTGTGGTCCTACTTTGGGGATGTCAGCTTTCCAAAAATGTGATTCCTGTGATTTCCAGACTTCCTGGGGCTCCGTGTGTGTGTGTGTGTGTGTGTGTGTTGGCGCATACCCCACTATGTGTGTCTGTCACACTGCAGGGAGCTTTCCTTCATTTAAACAGCCAATTAAAACCCACTTTGGCACTTATCGCATGTCACTGCTTCTCCACACTCAGCTGCCTTCCCAGCAGGCCTTTAATTTGATAAAGAGCTTCTAATAACGACTAACAGAGGGCCCAGTAAGTTAATTAAACCTTGTCCTTTATTTTGCTTTCAAGGTGTGCCCTCCTAATAAAAGCCCAAGGTTTGTGCTTGCAAATGACTTTAGACAATGTTCCATGCTTCAATGAGAAAAGTATGTCTGTCATGTCCTGGCAAGTTACACGTAAAGTCTCAATTTCAGCATCATGTCAGGCTTTCACAGAGGCCAGAAGCGGATGGAAAAAACCTCTGTACCCAATTGTAGGGAGGCCAGAGTTAGCAATGGAAGATGAGTTTCCTCAGAGAATACAACGCTGAAAGACGACCTGGCTGTCACATCGAACTCCATTTATCCCATTTCTTTAAAGTAATCTGAGAGTCCAGATGGGTTGTATAAACAGAAGAGGAGGTTCCTGGGAGTTCACCAGCTTAATGAAGCCCGTATGTTTGACTCATGTAATAAGTATTTAATCATGCTGATGAAATTCATTTAAACTTCAGCCACACACGCCGTTGCCGAAGCTCTGATAATGCCCTACATCACTTGTGCTTAGCAGCGCTGTGGCGAACCAGGTGAGACAGCAAGTTGGTGGCATTTCACAGGGTAAATGGGCTTCAGAGGGCCCCGCAGGGGAAAGGATGATGATACAGGAGACGATGCTTGTCAGCCCATTGCCTCCGAGTCCTGGAAGTTCTGCTGTGTGTCTGCCCATGCTGAGGTGCTAACAGCCCAGTGATAACTCAGGCATGCTCTCTCTTCTTAATTTCTGAGAAGGTGCATCAGTCGGAGAGCTTTTTGCTGCAAGTAACAGAATCCTCAACTCTACCAGCTTGAAAAATGAGGAGGTTTTCTGAAGTCCTAATCTAAATTGCTCTAAGACCTGGTTAATTGAGCAGGTTGAGCATGTCACCTTTCTCTGTCCCTGTTCTATACCCCGTAGTATGTTCAGGTGTCCTCAGGCCAGCTGCCTTCATAATCACAGGATGGCTGCCAGTACCACATTGGAATCCAGTAGTGTCCAGTAGAAGATTAGAAACCATCATTCCTTTTATTGATAATGAAATCTCGCCTTAAAGTGCCCTAACCATACTTCAGAGTATTTCTGCTCATAGGCCAATTCCTGGCATTGAGATGGGAGCACCATGATTAACTACTTATCACTGAGTGGCAATAGGGTAGTGTGGGACTGGAGCCAGCTCACAGCAGCTTGCGAAAGCTGATTGCACATTTCTCCCAGCCCTGCATTTAGTGACTTTGCGTTGGTAGCTCGAAATTGGCAGTGGTGGGACTACTTACACCACAATTGGCAAACCAATTTTGGGCTTGGGCAAACCAATATCAGGGCTTTCTTTTCCTGAGGAGCAGTTGATACTTACCTGCACATGACTGTGGCAAGGTCCCCTTCCTTAAGGCTGGATGCCAGAATGAAACTGAGGTTCTTTTAGCTAGAAAGCAAAAAGGTAAGTGGGCTGAGCATGAGCAGTCAACAATGTCTCCAGAGAAAAGCTGGGGTTGCACACTGGTCATTCTCTCTGGAAAACACAGCAGTTGGAGTCTGAGGAAGACTAACAACTTATAAATAGGAGAACCCAAAGTGCTTTTTAAAAATATCCTGAAAGAACCTGCTCAGGTAGGAAGCACTTGTTTTGTTGGTTGGCCTCATTTTTCTGCCAAAATTGAAAAGTTTCTCTAAGAAAGCCCTTGGTTTCCTTTTGGCTAAAATGGTTCTTCATGGTCATTGCACATGACAATCACCTAGGACAGTTTGCTATGGCAGTTTCCTGGTAATCTGGTTCAGTAGGTCTGGTGTGTGCACGTTTAACAGGCTTTCTCCTCCACCCCTGCACCCTCCCCCCTTGACTTTGAGCAAGTTGTCTGAGAAGCATGTCCGTGAAGGAAAAGAAGATGTTCCCCTTGGTGGCCTACCCCAGAAGTTGGCAAACTACAACACACTAGTGAGGAATGGTCTTTATAGTTTTAAATGTTTTTTTTTTAAATCAAAAGTAGAATACTATTTTGTAATATTAAAATAATGTGAAATTCTAATTTCTGTGTCTATAAATAAAGTAACTGTGACAGAGATCATAAGGCCTGAAAAGCCTAAAATACCTACTCTCTGGCCCTTTACAGAAAAAGTTTGCCAGCCTCTGTTCTAACATGGTCCATTTAATGGGATGAGAAAGACTTTGTCTCTTAATTCCCTAGCAGAAGTGTTCCCAATTAGTTAGGTAGGAGCCCTGGACACACAAGAGCCTTGCAGCTCGAGAGTCAGCCTACAGCTTTCCTTTGGCTCAGGGCTGGTAACAATGGCCAGGTGTCTTTCTCTTTGACTGTTAAAGAGAGATGGTGTGCAGAGCAGGTAGTAGTGGCTTTCTTAGTGACATGCTCCAGTCCATCTCAACCAGTAAGCATCATGCCATTCCCCATGGAGCCTCATGCTATTCCCCACTATGCTTGCTCATGGTGGGGGTGCGTGGGGAATGGATACAAACACACACTGCGCATGACCCCTACCCTCCTAGAACTCATGCTTTAGCTGGGAAGAAGGACTTCTGCAGAGGACTTATAAGAGGGCAAAAATAGCAGTGGCTCCATTTTAAGCCCTGGGGCCCATCTCGAGCAAAATCAGAATGGGTTTAATCATTAACTACCCCACGTCAAGGCTCTATGAAGTCAGTGTCCTTCATGAAAGAGGGACCCACAGAGGAGACCCTCTAGGTCTGCAGGCCTTGACTAGTCATTCTGTTAAGTTCCATTCAAGCAGTACTTGTGGGCAGAATGCCCCTGAGGAGTTAGACACAGAATGTAAACTCAGGGAAGCAGGGGGCTCAGAGAGGGTGCTGAATAGAGATCAAGGAGAATCAAACAGAGGAGGTGATATTGAGAAGCGTCTTAAGAGGGGAGGACAGGGAACCGAGGAAGTATAGGATGGGCGAAAAGAATGGTTCGTGTCCTGGTGGGCTTGGGCTAGGGTGGTTGGGCTGAGAAGGCAGATCGGGTCCTATTGTGGAGGACTCTGAGTCCCAGAGTCAGAAACTGGCGCTTCATTCCATAGGTAAGGGGGATCCATGAATAGGTTTTTTTAACGTAAACTTTGCATTAAACTATAACATATAAAAATAGCACAAATCACAAGTGGATTTTCATAAAGTTAGCATATCCATGTAATAGTGGTTCTGTTGCCTGCAAAACCCCAGCCTATGGGGAGCCTCCTGATCCTGGTGTTTAGTTACTAATAACGATGATCATTATGACTTACATTCATACAGAATATTTGCATTAACAAATCACATTTACATGCATTATTTAAGTATCCCAGCATCATGTGGTAGGTATTATTACTACCATCCTTCTTTTATAAAGGCATAAAGCAATAAGATCGTGTGAGTATTAAGTAGAAGAATTTGGACTCTACCCTTTGTATCCTCACCTGTTATGAGTGCAGTCATTAAAATGGTGTTTTAAATATGTGTTTAATCATATAGAAACATGGTCAAAATATATTATGAAGTTTAAAAAAGACTAGAGAAGAGTTATATATAATATATCTTATGGGAAATATCATGGGTTGGTAGAGCATACCAGAATCAGACCATCTGTGCTCAACCCCTGGCTCTGACACTTAAAATGGCTGGTTATGTAACTTCAGACAAGTCATGCAAATTCTGGAAGCCTCACTTTTCCCATCTGCAAAATGGGTAAAAGTATGCATAGCTCATGTGGCTACCATGTAGGCTACTGAGAAAACCCACATGTGGTAGGCAGAATAATGCCCCTTACCCAAAGATGTCCATGTCCTTGGGATCCTGCTATCAAGGCCTCATCCCAGCTACATAAATCCAGGTGAGCTTGAGAGGTATGTTCTGAGCTTCTCAGGAGCAGAGGAAGCCATTCCTCTAAGTTGGTTGCCTTAGAATCATTCCGGGAATTGAAGGGGTTGGTGGAGTTTCTGCGTTGTCTCAGTCCATATTCTGGAAAATTAATTGCTTTGTGTAAACAGCCTGGATTTAACTGTTTTTGGAATTTTGACTAATTTACCTAGTGCTTCCTAAATATCTGGATTCCCAATAACCCTGGTAAAAGGAGGCAGGATGATTTACATACTAAACATACAAGCACTGGAATCATGTGTCCAGTTCATGGCTCTCCCTATTACTAGTGTGTGATCTTGGATAATTATCTAAACTTCCTAAAGCCCGGTCTCCTCATCTGCAAAAGTCAGATAATGTGTTCCTGATGGGTTGTGGAGAGGACTCAATGAGATGATATAAAGTACTTAGCACAGTGCCCAGCAGAGACTAAGTGCCCCAAAGTGGTAACACACATTACTAATCACCCACAATATGCCATCACTCTGAGAACAGGGACTACTAAGCAAGCACAGTGGGCACCTCACCCACACCCCACGAGCCTCCAAAGCATCCTGGAGTCTCCAGGGCAGGTTTGTGCACAGGCCATGGAGGCCACCAGAGACCAGAGAGACGAAGCCACATGCGGCAGCCTGGTAACCTCGGAGAAGCAGCCCTGGCATCCCAGACACCTGACATCTCCTCCTGCTGCTGGCTGCCACATTTGGAACTGAGACAATGAGCCTGGCTTGCGTCAGTTCTCTTGAGCAGAACGCAGAGGGGTTGCTGGGGGTGGGTGTGAGGGGTGGTGGGGGTGGGGGCGGCTTGGTGCCCGATCGCTCACTCTTCTTCCTCCTCCCCTGTGCATGGCAGAGGGGAAGAGCCTGAGAGCACAGGGTGATTAGTTGCTGCATTTTGTCTGTGATTTTCCACAGGAGCCAGTCTCTACCTGGTAAATGCCCAAGCACTTCCTGGGGGTTTAAGTGAGTGAAGGTTGTCAGATTCTTTGCCAAGGAACTTGGGCTTCCAAAGCTGGCGAGGTTGGGAGATGCTCCCCAGCCTTCCTCCCGCTCTGTCTTGGCTGTGTCTCTACCACCTCCCAGGCCCTGAGGACACCACTGCCCTGACGTAGCACAACAGCAATGCAAGGGCACCTGAGAACAGCAGAGAGGCAAACGGCCATCTTCTTGTTTCCCTTTTGACCTCTGGGAACAAAGAGATAACTTTGAAAAGCTCAAGGCCCATTCATCGTACAACATAAACAAAGTGGGTTCAGGGTACCAGCTGTTTCAGGACTGTCCTACTCCTATGGAAGGAAGCCCCAGACCCCTGGATTCTCATGCCAAGAAATCGAGCTAAGATTTATAGGTTTGGGGAAGGGAGGAAGGAAAGAGAGAAGGGGGGAAGGAAGGAAGGAAGGAAGGAAGGAAGGAAGGAAGGAAGGAAGGAAGGAAGGAAGGAAGGAAAAATGTGACCTTGTAGTTTTGAGCCAGGTCTGTTGCAGATGGGCAATATATCCGGGCAATCAGCAAAGCCACAGCAAGAGCACTGTGGCTGGTGCTGTGGCCCAGGCAACATACAAAGAACCGAAGGTGCCAGCAAAATGAATGTGGCTGCTGACCAATAGCCATAATCCCCTGACAGCAGGTGCAGGGGGTAGAAGGACAAGTGGAACCTCTTTGTCTTTGTCATTGCAGACCAGAGAGCCCACGTGATGTGAACCCATTTGTCCTGGGAGGAGGAGGGAGATGGGGGGGGAAGGGAAAAAAACCAACAACAACTGGCTCCCTCTGGGATCATAAATCACTGGAAGGGAGAGACCTTGCCGGGTGAAGTAGGAGGTTCTACCTGGAATCACCCTGATGGTGAGCCCGGGTGCCGTAAGCCACCAGGGCTCTGCCAGCAGCAGTTCTGCCCACTGGCCCAGTGCAAAGGTGCTGGTTGTTTCGCTGGCAGCTGACACTGTCCCAGAGGGTAGGGGGCAGGTGCCTGCCAGGCCATGGACACAGGCCCATTCTGTGTGCTTTCCCTTGGGTGTGATGGGGGAGAGAGCAGCAGTGGCTTGCTGTCCCTGGGAGTTTGGCCCAGTGGCCTGGCATAGCTGGAATGTCCTTGGCCAGCTCATTGTGAGCAGTCAGAGACAGTCAGGAGATATGTCCCATGATCAGATGGCTTGGGCTTGCTGGAGTATTTTTCCTAGGTTTGGGGATCATCTGAGGTCACTTGAGTGTCCTTGCTGTCCTTGTCAGATCCCTCAGGTAGCGGCTCTGAGGTCTAATTGTTCAGCTTGTGCTGAATTTGTCCAGCCCAGGTGGGCACATCTGAGAGCCAGCTGTGTCCAAGTAGACGTTTAATGGTTTGCCTCATTGTCCCATCCACCAAGAAGGGGGGGCCATACACAAGAAAAAGGATAGCAGTTGTCCCCCTGTTCCTCCCTAGCCAGGCCGCATGTCTCCCTGTCCCCACCTTCACCCCCGTCAGAGTCACATCCCTGCTCACACGCCTGCAACGCTTCCACCTGCCAGATACTTGACGGTGCCACAAGGCCCTGTTTGAACGTCCTTCTTCTGGAAAGCCTTCCATGGCTTCTCCCCCTCCTCTCACCTGCCAGAGACCAACAAGGGCCCTTCTTCCCTTCATTTGTTTAATGAACGATTATTAAGCCCCTACTAGGTGCCACATGCTGTCAAGACAGGAGAAAACCAGATGGATGCCGTCTCTGCCCTGATGGAGCTTGTGGGTTAGAGAGATAATAAGTATAAATAAATAAGACGATCATGCTAGATTAAGTGTTTTGAAGGAAATAAATGAGAAGCTGAGAGCAAATAGTGAGGATTAAAGCACAAAAGCGACTATAAATGGGGCAACAGAAGAGCTCTTTGAGGAAACAACATTTCAGTGGAAGAGGAAAAGGAACCGGCTGTGCACAGCACTGAGGGAAGAAGGTTGCGGGCAGGACAGACAGGGTGTGCAGAGAGAAGACCAGTGCAAGAGGGACAGAGACTCCACATGCAGGGTGGGCAGGATCAGGGCACACGGGGTCAGCAGGTGGTGGCAAGAAGGTGGGTGTGGTCCATAATCAGGGTGCTCCAATCATTTGGTATTTCACTCTATGTTGGCAGATGTGCTTTGTATTTTTCCCATTCATTTACTTTCTACCTTCTAAGCTGAGTGTGAGCCCCTGGAGGGCGGGGGTGCATTATGCTCATGCGTGCATCTTTGGCCCTCACCCATTCAGTAAATCATGAGTAGCTGAGATGTGAACTTGGTACAGGACCACATGAGTATATTTCATACCTGTCTGCCCTCTCCCACTTCCCTCCCTTCCAAAGGTGAACAAGAGGTCCCTGCTGGCTCCTCCTGTTGGAGAAGAGGATGCAGAGCCAAGTGACCGGAGGCACTGACCCGACTTTCATCCTGAGATAACCCTGGCCCAGAGACACAAGCCCACAGCCCTGGAGCTGCTGCAGGTCTGAGTGCCTTCCCAGTGCCGGCGATGCCAAGGGTTCCCAGCAAGACCCAGCACCTTTTATGGACTCACCCACATCGTGCCTGAAACTCATGATCATTTTCTGCCTATTGTTTAGAAATTGATACCATATATAATATTAATACCTGGTAAAAACAAATCAAGTAATATATGCTCATCGACATATGATTCGGTCTGGGGGACAAGCATTGATCATAAGCACACTTTCTATTTCAGTTCAGCACATTTCTGTGTCAGACACACAGGGGTGCCAAGAAGCACAAAATAGCCCCTACCTTCAGAGAGATTGCATCTGGTTAGAAAAAGACAGACTTGTAAAGAAATAAATGCTAGAAAATATTTTAAGTACTATGATGCAGCGTCAGATCGGTTTACAGATAATGTGATCAATTTTAGCTGGGGAGAAGAGGGAGAGTAAGGGGCATTGGAAAGGTTTCCACTTTGGAGAAAGTGAGTACACATTGACCTGGCAGACACGAGAGAAAGGGCCCTTCGGGGAGAGGGAGCAGCACCCACAAAGAGGCAGGAAACAGTACGTTGCATTAACTGAAAGAATATTTGACAAGGTTCAAGAGTCAGAGGATGGGGGCATTGGTTGGGCTGTGGAGGGATTTGTGCGCTGAGCTCAGAAGCTTGGACATGATCCTGTTGGCACAGGGAGTCCCTGAAGAGTTTTAAATAGGACAGGGGGTGGTACGGTCATATTTGCCCTGGGGAAAGACTGCTGGGCTGGCAGTATGGAGGCTGGAGGAGAGGAGTTCAACCCAGGAGGCCAAGTACTCAGTCCTGGCACAAGTGAGAACTGCCCATGGGCAGCAGCCGAGGGCTGAAAGAAAAGGAAGATTCTGGAAGCATGAAGGACATAGAAGTGAAGGAGTAGATTTGGCAGCCAGTTTGGACAGCTCAGACTTGACATACTCAGTACCAGACTTAGACCCTGGCAATTGGGGTCCCTGTTCTGAGTCCCACATATTAGAGACCACATTCTAGCCCTTCTCTGGTCACACCACTTTCCATGAGCAAGACAAGTCTGTGGCACCAGGGAACATGCCAACCTGGACCCAGTGTAACCTTGCTCCAGGTAATCAGCTGGGAAATTCCCTGCCTAGTGACCCCAGCCTATGGCCTCTTCCCAGGTCTGTCCTCCCACAGGTGGCTCATATTTCTGATGAGCACACCTCTGTCCCAAGCAGTGGCCAAGTGACAGTTTTTTGGTGGGGTTTGGAGATGTAGCTTGGACGCACAGCCTGGGCTGTCCACACACATACATGTGTGTAAGGTTTCTCTCGGTGGCTGATAGGGTAGGGATTAAGAAGAAAAGGGATCTCCATTTTTCTCCCACAAATATTAGGGACAGACCTAAAGGCAACCTGTAGAGTTATCTTCTGATTTTCTAGAGTAATTAAAATATTAGCACTTTAACCCATGAAGTTGGTCTGAGTTGGTTTCTAGACGCCTCATCATTGTTATCCTCCTTTGAATTGACCCTAAATTTCACATGACTAGGAATCCAGATAGCTGCTGCACGAACTTGGCAATCAGGGACAACCAGGGAACGCGGATTCAGTCACACATGCTAAATCCCCAAAGGCACTGAGAGGAGGGGAGGAATTGAGTGCATGCATCTCTCAGG